AGCTGCTGAGATTGAGATGAGAAGGGGGGTGTAACCTACTCGGTCCGGCTACACCTGTGTTGGCTGTACTAGGGGGTGGAAACTCTGGAAAGTAGGGATTAGACTGCAGAGAATAGGATCGAACGGGTGCAGATGCAAGTGGAGGGGGCGGTAATGAAGTGAATGATCGTGACATGTGGGAGTGCGTAGCCGACCTCGGACCCCCGCTGGGATCAGTAGTAAATGGGTGCGTCTGTATGGCGGATTGAGAGTGGAACACCCTCGGACGGGTGACGGTGCCTCCGCCAACAGCAGGAATAGTCTCATATTCCGGCTCGCGTTCTCGTTCCCGCTGGTCGTCCCAATCAACGAAATCGAACGAGCCGCCTTCGTCCTCTTCTTCCGTCTCTTCTTCGTACTCGTAATCGCTGTCCAAGGCGCTGGTGCTGCCCTTCTCCTCTTCGGCTTCCTCTGCGAGGTCGGCAGACCCTTGTTAGGAGTAAAGAGGCTGCTGAAACCTTTGAACACACTCTTTGTTGGGAGGCCTTCTGGGCGGAGACCATAAGTCGGATCAAAGTTTTCTAGGTCTGGATGGGACGAAGAGGAAGGTTCTGGAGGAGGTAAATTCGGTGTAGAAGTATATAGTGGGGCTGGCACGCGATGAGAAAAGCCGGATGTGGACGCGGCGCGGGGAGGTCGCCGGGCATTGAACGATGAAGAACTGAGAGGATTTTTGCGAGTGCCTATTTCGGAAGCGGTAGCACGATGTGGAAAAACGTCGGGTGCGGACATGGCGTCGAAGCTCTGCCTCGTTTTAGGCGGCAAGATAGGTCTCGGTGCTAGATAGGGAGCCTCGACCTTGGCCTTGACCCATTGCTGGCTAAGACGATGGATGATGCCCGGCAGGTCCTCCCTGAACATCTGCCTGAGCTGACCCTCGATCTCGCGCTGGATAAAGTTCTGGATGACGGCGATGGAGTCGAATGTGCTGTTGATGTCGACATTCTGGAGAGGATCGGTCTTGAAGACGAGGGTGATGCCCTTTTGCTTGGAGACGACGAGGACGACGTAGGAGCTGAGACGGAAGTGGGACAGACGGAGGAGCATGGGGACGACGAGGGGGTGCTTGGCGGCGAGCATGCCGCGGGAACCACCCATGAGGTGGATGTCGGGCTGCTTGTGGTTGAGCGGGTTTGCCTAGAGACACGTGTGTTGGACAGACTGTCAGAATAAAAAATAGCAACGGACTTGGACTTTGGTCTTGAGGACTAGATGGGCATCGCCGGCGTATGTGAGACGGAAGATGCCTCTGAACTGGTCGACGGTGAGGTCGCCAACATCACGGATCTCGAGCTCTGGGGGCTGGAGGGGGTGAGCGGGTGGACAGAGAGAGGAGAAAGAGGGCGTGCCTGTGTGCCCATCTCGAGCTCGACGACCTCGATCTTGTCGGCGATGATGGGGGGCTTGCTGCCCTTGTTGAGGGCGGTGTTGAGCATCTGGATGGCATCGTAGTGGAACTGGTCTGAGAAACGAGGCCAGTGGAAGGTGAACGACATGAGAGTTAGGGTTAGGGCCACTCTGCCACCAACCTCCATGTACGGCGTCCGCAAGCTGCTCGCCGGCGCCGCCTCCTCGTCCTCGTCCCCGCCGGAGCCCGTCGCCGCCGCCTTTGCGCAGAGACAGGCCCGACATGGCCGCCAGCCTCGCCGAAAGAGGGCGAGCCCGTGTCGACTGGGCCGTATCCCCGCCAGAGCCAAGGCCGCCAGTCCGCTCCCAACGCCCGCCCCGGTGGCTGCCCGCCTCCGTCCCCCACACGCTCACAGACTATGCCCGCCTCCCCCGCTTCTGTGCGCGCCTCCTCCCCCCGTCGTCCCATGTCTGCCCGCAAGTCCGTTGCCTCCACCCAGCGTCTTTCCGGTCCCTCAACACCCGCGATGAACTCCTCATGAGTCTCATCGCCAGCGAGGCTGTCATCGACAGTCGCGACTTTGAGATCCTGACTGCCGAGGAGGTCGACGAACTCAAAAAGGTATTGCCATTCTCAACTCTACTGACTTCAACTCAACATGCCACTCAGGAACACCATGTCCTCTCATCACGACACGAAGCCCTCTCCAAAAAACTCGCCCTCGAAACAAAAATCCGCGATGCAGCCCTCTCCCTCTCCCGCGTCAACGCCTCCCACAAACAGGTATCCAAGCAAACCGCCGAACAAGTCGAAGCAGCCCACGCACGTGTAGACAAGGCCCAAACCGAGCTCTGGAAAGTCTCTGACCGCCTCAATGACGTACACAACCGCCTCATGGAACACAGGGCCGGTGTCCTCAGCTTTTCCGTCAGGAATATGGAACGCAAGATGAATGGTCCTGACGACTCGGGCTATGATTCTTCTAATCGGAGTACTCTCCTCAGTCCAACTCTACCTTCCATCAATGGTCTTGCCTCGCCCTCCAAAACCCCTTCGACGGTGCCCATTTCTTTGCTGGCCATGCTGACACTATTATCCCAAACCCAGACTCTCTGCCGAAGCTGCGGCTGCCGAAATTCTTGCTTTGGAAACCAGGCTCAAAGAGGCCAAGGAAGCACTCTCTTCAGCCGGAAAAAGGCAGGTCGAAATGACCCGCGAGCTCTCCATGATGCGCTTGGAAAAGCAGGAAATCGAAACTGTCGCTGAAATGGATCTACAAGCTGCCAGAGATACTATTGCCGCTCTTGAGAAAAACAAGGGTGAAGAAAAGGACGAACAGCTCAAAGCTCTGGACGAGCAAGTCGAGAATCTGAGGATGGAACGGGAGGAATGGCAAATGGACAAGGAAGAATGGGAGAGAGAAAGGGACGACCTTCTGAGAGAGAAGGAGGACGCGCAGGTAGATGCAGAGGAGCTTAGGCAAAAGTTGGAGGAAATCGAAATGCGGAAACAGGAAACAGAGGGTGGTGTCAGCCAGGAACTTGAGGAGAAAAACCGCGAAATCCAGAGTCTACAACAAGAGATGAACGAGATGCGTTCAAGGTGGGACGAAGAGCGACGAATGCTGGAAGACGAGAAACTCGAAGACCTCGCGCGTCTACAGGAAGAAATGGAGGATGCCCGAAGGGATGCTGCCACCGCTTCTGCTACAGAACTCGCCGAACGTCTCCGCGAACAAGAGCGACTGCAACGAAAGACCAACGAGCAACTCGAAATCGGCCTTGCGGCTGTACAGACTATGGTCAAGACGCACGGCATCGTTCTCTTCTCGCGAGACAACTCGCTGCAAGGCCTGCTCAACGCCATCGGCATGCACCTCGACTCTGTGCACAAGCGGCTTGAAGCCTATGCCAAGTCCGAGGCGGAGTGGGATATATTGAGAAGGAGGCTGGAAGAGGACGTGAGGAGTGGGTTGGACAAGAGGGAGACGATAGTGAGAGAGCTAGAAGAGGCGAGGAAAGAAAGAGATCCTGTTAGGCGGGACACTCTAACTTCGGAAAGCAGCAGGGCCAGGTCACAACCGCATTCCAAAACTCCCTCAACACCAAACATACCCCAGGACGGAGAACCACAGGACGCAGCGAGGATTATCGCCGTCCTACAACCTCTTTGGTCGGTCCTCCCCTCGCCCGAAGCCCGTGCAGCTAAATTTGCCTCTACGCGCTCGTTCCGTACTGGGTCCCCAACACCCGGCACACCGGGCGGAACCAATACTGCGTCATCCACTGGTGTCGTTGCTTCCTTGTCCGATCTCGACGTGCGTTCCCTCAAGACGCTGTACGACCCCCGAAACAACAACAGCACTCCCGCGTCGCCTAAACCAGGCAATAATGCGCTATTCACCGTCGAGGCGTTTGCTCAGCGCGTTCAGGCGCTCATGGCAGACGACAAAGCGCTGATCGAGCGTCTAGTGCGCTTCGCACAGGCTCATGATCTCCTGAAGAAGAACGCGGAGAGGGCGCAGAAGCTCGCGCAGGAAGGCACGCACGCGCTGGAGACGTACCAGAAACAAGTGAGAGTGCTGGAAGAGCGGAACGCGAGCCTCGCGTCCAAGCAAATCGCGATGCAAGAAGAGTTCCATATCTTGCACGACACCATCGAGCGTATCACCGCTGAGAAACACGACCTTGAGGGATTAGCAGCTGAACAAGCTGAAACGTGCCGCCAACTGACCGAAGCGAACAACACCCTCTCCGCGCGGACGCTGCACCTGGCGGAGGAAGCTGCGCAAGCTCCCGAGATGATAAGGAAGCAGCTGGAGACACAGATCGGGGATCTAAAGAAGAGTTTGGAGTTGGCGAGGGACGAGGTGGATGCGATGAAGAGTTCAGAGCAGAGTCAGCGCATTGCGTTGTTGGATGAGCTGAATACGATGCAGACGGAGAACGGGAATTTGAGGAGTCAGCTGAGGGCTTTGAAGAAGTAGGATTTGGAGTAGGATTTAGTCTTTGATTTTTCTGGGGATATTTTTTCTTGGATGGATTTTATTTCTCCTTCTGCTTCATCTTCATCGACATTCTTACCCTTCTTGGAACTTTCAGCTGCTTCTTTTCTTTGCAGGATCTTTTTTATCTTTTATACCAGTAATCTTTCTTGCATCATTTAGGATAGGAACACTTTTTGGCAACCAGGAGAATGATACCCCCTTGGTTTATCAACTTGCTATGCTTTCGTGGGCTCTTCAGGAACGATAAAATAAGGAATCAAAGATCCAACCAAAGAATCCCCTGCTCCGGAGCTAAAACTTAAAACTGTAGCGCGTCAACAACTTTGAGAACCCCGGCGAGACTCGAACTCGCAACCTCCAGATACCATACTGTTGTAAGGTAGAAGTCTGACGTCATAACCATTAGACAACGGGGGCTGTTCCATTAAGCGGTGTGTGGGCGTACAAGAAATTAGACGCCCAAAAAAGCGTTCGACACTGGAACTCCAAAGAAGCCTTCTAGATTTGGTACTATTGTGGCTAGCACCTATGGTGTATCTTTTGTCCCGTTGATTCAACTTCTGACCACCCCCAGGAAAAGATAACCCAATTGGCGAGCAAAACATAAACCCCCGGCGAGACTCGAACTCGCAACCTCCAGATGCCACTACGTAGAAGTCTGACGTCATAACCATTAGACAACGAGGGCTTGCAAACTTAGTTCAGGTTGACAGCATGATCCGCCGCAGCATTCCGTCGTACTCTTTACGATGATGATGATAATGTTTTTTTACTCCCTTCAAGCATGTCGTCGCCGGTGATGAGCTCGCCGTTGTCGATCTCGCGTCGACAGAGCTTGTCTCCGAGCGAAATCAGTGTTGAAGCAAACTCTGTTCGACACCCGCGCCATTCGCCAACACTTACTCGCTCATTCGATCCAAATGACCCCCAGGTGCGGGAGAGACAGCGCACGATGGATGTCGACATGGCCATGCAGCTCTCTCTCGCCAGAAGAGACACTCTGCACTCGTCTCCTGTAAATACCTTCTCCAGCCCTGCTACCCTTTCTGGTCAGCCGCAGGCCTCCTCCGATCATTCCTTCCCTCTGTCGCCTGAGAACGAGGATCATAGGCTCCTCGAAGAAGTCGACGACCGACCTTTACAGGACACGCCTTTCGAAATGAGCGACGACAACGAGCCCGAGAGCGACCATGCTGCTTCTCGGTCTATGCACCTTGATAGGACCGCTGGCGTCGATAACATGGGTATGGACATCCCCAGCTTGGGTCACCTCCACAGCCTACCGCCCCTTCATCGTCACCATTCCAACCACTCGCTTCACCTCCACATTCATCCCGAGGATCCCCAATCTAGCACTTTCGGTCTGCCGACATATCAGGCTACCAATGCCTCTCAGACCATGTTCAATTTCGGTCCCATGGAAGAATGGGCGACTGCCGAGAAAACTAAGCTAGGCTTGAATTCCTCACCACTCAACCCACGCTTTTCTTTTGCGCCCCGCCCCAAGGTTGTCACTGTTAAACCTCAGATTGTTTCTATAGACACTCCAGCTATTGACCCTACTTCGTCTACTTCCGTTGTTCCTGCCAATGAATCCGATAACGCACCTTCTGGATCTGGCCATACGTCTCAAGTGGCCGAGCAACCCACTGTCAACACCTCTGATGATCCCAATCGTCCTCTCCGCTTCCGTAAATTAAGCCAGAGCAACCCCCATCCACGCTCGCACCGCAAGGGCATAGGCGGCAAGATGGCTCTATTTGAGACCAATCTTAATGATGCACCATCCTTTTCGGCTCGCCTTGGTCTGGTTCTCGGCAACCAAGGTGGACCAATTACTTCCGAACCCTCCTACGACCACATGCACAACGCAAATTCTGTGGGCGGCATACTTAACACCGGTCATGACCGGCCTTACCGTTTCTCATTTTATTCCAACGCGCTCAGTGCCACCATCCATGCTCGGAGCCTTAGTGAGCTACCAGCTGAAGGACAAACATTTGAGCAAATGTTCTCTGGCATTAATCCTCCAACTGGCGGCGAGGCTGCTGGCCCGACAAGGCAAGACCGCGTTCCCCCATTCTCTCCTCCTTACACGGATACTATGAAATCCACCCCCGGCGAGAATGCTGGCGGTTACTTCCCGAATGCTAATAATAGCACTCTTTTTATGAACCATGACAGAAGCAGGAATGTGCCTAATGTCCAGGAGAAGGGATTCGGTGGAAATGGTGTAGGTATGAATGGAGGACCAGGTGCCCCGAATGAGGATGCGAATACGTGGTGGCTGGATGTGCTAAACCCGACGGACGAGGAAATGAAGATGTTGAGCAAGGTTTGCATATTTCGTTTTAATCATGTCCCATCTAAATCGTGTTGCAAAAATCTAGGTTTTCAACATTCATCCCCTTACAACTGAGGATATCCTGATGGAAGAAACGCGCGAAAAGATCGAGCTTTTCAGGAACTATTACCTCGTCTGCTTCCGTTCATTCGACCAGGACCCCTACAGCCCCACCCATCTGGAACCTCTAAATATGTACATCATCGTTTTCCGTCAAGGTACACTCTCCTTCCACTTCCGGCCCACTCCGCACCCTCAAAACGTACGTCGGCGAATAAAGCAGCTCAAAGACTATATAAGTGTTACCTCCGATTGGATCTCCTATGCCCTTATCGATGATATCACCGACGCGTTTGGGCCTTTGATTCAAGGGATTGAATACGAGGTCGACAGTATCGATGAGTTGGTGCTTATTTTAAAGGAAGCTGAGCAGAGTGATATGTTGAGGAGGATTGGAACGTGTAGGAAGAAAGTCATGGGCCTGTTGAGGTTGATGGGCAATAAGGCGGATGTCGTGAAGGGTTTGGCGAAAAGGTGTAATGAAAATTGGAGGGTGGCACCGACATCAGACATTGTACGTTCCGAGAACTTTTTCTTTTTTCAATGGACGATTCTAAAAAATTTTATGGCTGTAGGGGCTTTATTTGTCTGATATTCAGGTTGGTTTCTATTTCCTCGCGACATGTGTTCTCCGCTTACATTTCCTTCCTCTTAGGATCATTTAATCACCATGACCCAGAATTTGAATCACTATGAAAAAATCCTGTCGCGATCTCACTCCAACTATCTCGCTCAAATTTCTATTGAGATGACAGACGCCAATAATCAAATCAACGACGTCTTGAGCAAGATGACTGCCCTTGGTACAGTCCTGATCCCCATGAATCTGGTGACTGGTAAGTCTTGTTTTTGAGGCATATTACTCCGAGCCCAAGGTTTAATATGGAATAGGTTTATGGGGCATGAACGTCCACGTTCCAGGCCAGGAGGCAACTGTGCGTTAACTATCTTTCATTGCGACCTGCATCTGCCGACTTGCATATTCATTAATTAATTAACAGGGCTATGGTTGGTTCATCTCTATTATCGCATGCCTTGCGGCATTTGCGCTCGTTGGTGGATACTCAACCTACCGGTTCTTGGTCCGTAAATGAGTCGAGTCAAGGTGATCTCATTCATCCCTTTGAGGGCTTTTTGCATGACCGCGTCATCTTATTGATGGTGTTCACGACTTGCACGTTTCAATCTTTTTATTCATGATTATCAGTCATGTCCGACAGTGCCCCTTTCTCATTTGCATCTTTTATCTTTGGTCTAACTTTCTTGTTTATGCATCTCTTATTTTTGTTGTACACGGTTTTAAAGGACTCTGGTTCTGCCCTTTTACTTTATTCATCATCTCACCAAAGGCGGTTGGCAGTACAAAACATTCGCGACTGGCCACATTCCCCAATTCATCATTTGTCTTTACAAGGGTACTACATGACTTAGATAGATGCATCCTCACCATTGTGTAAACTACTTACAACTTCCACCAGCTAATATACTTCGCATGCAGCTGCTTTACTTAGCACGTTCTCCTCTAGAATAGTTGAAAATTATCTGAGAATAAGGGCGATGGCTTCTAGTGTATTGCTCGAATTAACGGTCGTTCAAATCACCCCCCAAAAAAAAGCTTGAAAATGCAGTAACTATATATACACTAAATGTCCTGTAACATCCCAGAATACGAGGAACTAGCAAGTAGATATAAAATACAAAATACCACATCCGTGCGATTCAAATCTCTTTTCTCAGCCAGACATGAATCCCTGAAACATAGTCCCAGCACCCGTCACGTCTATCCGTGCAGCGGAAAGCAGCTCTGGAGACTGAGAAAGGTGTTCGAATTCCTAGAACCGCAAGGGCTCATCAGTGGAAAATCAGGTCCAACGACCATTAATACCTACATCAACTGAAATCATGAAAAAATGGGCATGGCATAGCATAAGGCAGCAGTGGACACAGAGGAAGCAATACGTCAGACTCAATCCCGTCAAATAAAAGAACAAAACATACCATGTGTACTCGGAAGTCTACTGGTGTTCATCCTCGTTGATGGCAACTGTCGAAGTTGTCGGAAATCATTGTTCAGGTATGTTTTCGTCAAACCAGTGGCGGCAGGGGACCGTAGGATCGCAGATGGTGGTGATATTACGACGCCTAGGATATCTGGTGTTTTGGTTCCCCTTTTTGGAGTGGACGGCGGCTCGGCAGGCGGCGGAGACAAAAGGTTCTCGACGGCCTTGAGAGGCATTATTAAGGTATCAAGTATTTCAATAGTCGACGAAGGAAAGACTTCGTCTTCATCGATGATGAGCTTGTCTTTTATAACAGAGACAGTAGCTTGGCGTTCTGGTGGTAGTGCAGATGCAAGATGGCTGCACAAATGCTGAAATTGGTCAGCCGATAGACCAACTAGGGTCGTGAGTTTTACGTCTTCTTGAGACGCAAGCCATTCTAGCACGTACAGCGTTAATTCGGCAACGTCTGATTTTATTTCAAGTGCATGGTCCGAGTAGGTGGAGATCAGGCGCCCAACCTCACTTTGGAGATGCTCTGGGGTAATCGAGGTAGAGGGGAGGCTCTTGAGAATGTCTGGTACAAACTTCAAGGCATCTGGAACTGAAAAATTTGCCTGCGCGGTTCTGAGCGAAAGAAGCAGAATATTGAAGCGGACATCTGGTGCAAAAACATCGGCGTGTTCAGCTAGATGCCTTGTTAACCTCTTCAGAGCTAAAGATGTAACATGGTAGTCCAAAGTGAGAGTTAGACAATCATTCAGTAGTTGTGAAAGGTCTTCGTTGGTAGAAAACGACGATACACCCCAGGCACTTGAGGATATCACCAGGTCACAAAAATGGAGGATAGAAGTAACTTGGTACTGCAGAAGGAGCTTATGGTCTTCTTGAATAGGGCTAGGTAGTGTGTGAAGGGTAGTTAAGAGTCCTTTCATCTGTTCGACAAGAAGCCAGTCTCCAATCCCAATTTCGCCGTTATCCAACATAGCTAATCGTTGAATGAAAGTTGCCCGCGTCTCTGCGTCCAGGAGGCAACTGAAAGCTTTGAGCTCGGCAAGTACCTTTGGAAACACTTCCGTCGACCAAAAAGTGGCAGCCTCATCAGACGATGCCTGAGGTAAGATGTTCATCGTAAGGTCGTACACTTGCAAGATATGATGAACTGGATCTCTGACGACCTTTTCCACATGAGGACTAAGGAGCGATCTTAGGATGATTTGGGCGTTGGAGGTACCTGACTCGGCTTGTATGGCTTTGGAGAGAGTACTAAGAATCACACGGCAA